ATATGTATGTATATATATATATATATATATATAATTTTGCATATTCTTCAAGGTTTATATTGATTTATGACCATAACAGTACATTGTTCATAAGGTGCATGAGCCTTCTTAATTACTGGATTGCTATAATTATGCTTAATTTTCTTATTTAAGTTTAATTATGATTGCTTAATTATGTTGCATCAAAAAGATATGTATATGTATGTATATATATATATATATATATATAATTTTGCATATTCTTCAAGGTTTATATTGATTTATGACCATAACAGTACATTGTTCATAAGGTGCATGAGCCTTCTTAATTACTGGATTGCTATAATTATGCTTAATTTTCTTATTTAAGTTTAATTATGATTGCTTAATTATGTTGCATCAAAAAGTCTGCGTAAACATACCTTTTGCAAAACTTGTATTAAATTTAATTTAGATTTGTTATATCTTTAAAATCTGAAATGATCTCATCATGTGGGAACTGATGTTATCGAACTGATACTGAAAGAATCATTAATTGAATCGTTGAGAGCAATCAGAATCAAAACCAGGATGGTTAATTCCTTACGGTTCTCATCCATATCTAATGCTTTATTCCTGATGTTTGTACGTTTGCACATAAGTGCTCCCCACTCATATGTCGAAAGAATGCGTCGGCTTCTTAAAAACTCTTTCTCTCCCACTGTTGTGTCAGGCCACCTCCTCCTCTTTTTCTTTAGTTCTATCTCTCTTTCCGTCTCTATCTCTCCTTCCCTGCTGCGGAGCGACTTGATGAATGCTAAAATCACTCCTTCAGCAGATTGCGTGCCCTCTGTAGGAGCCGTTTCGCTGGGAAGTTAAGCTCTGCGTCGGATGCTCATTTGTGACAAAGACTTTTGCTTAGAGATATTACAAGGAACGAACCCCTCCAACAAATCAGTTTCACATACTCTCAGGCGTTGTTCTATTTCTGTTTTATGTAACGTTTACAGAAAAGATGAATAGGGACTATACTCGTTTGTTGCATACTCACCACAAAGTCATGTTTTTGCTGTACTGAAAAACAACTTGCTCTGAATGTTTTACAAGACTGTTGTACAGAAGCCGAGTGTGTACCATTATTGTCACTCTAATGGTAAAAACACAGTAAATACAACTGATATTTAGTGCTCAGAGTGCGGGTTGGCGTTGCTGCAAAGTCACCAGATGCCTAATGGAAAACACACACTGAGCTTATTGTTCTGAGATACACAAATTATGATTGAGTAAAACCCCTTTTTCAGAATTAAAATGTTCCGTCTCATTTCCATCGCAGAAAATGAAAATGTACTCACCCTCATGTATTCCAAACAAGTATGACTTTCTTCTGTGGAACATAAAAGGAGATACTTCAAAGAATTTTCATGCTGCTATTTTCAATGCAATGAAAGCTTATAGTGCCCCCCCCCAAAAAAATATACTACTCGCGTGTTATATTCTAAGTCTTCTGAAGCCATACGATAGCTATGTTTCATCAGTGTCAGTGACACAAAATGCCATTGCTTCTGTATGTGTCTATCGAATGCCAGGTTGGAAATGCAAAAGAGATTTGTGAGCTGTTATTTGAAATAAAGCTTACATAAATCAAAACATAAATAATAGGTGGAAAAATGATAACTGAAAATATAAAATAAAAGCTAATTCAAAATATAAATAAATACTATAATAGTATATAAATAATACTAAAATGAAACTTATTCAGAAGATATGACTGGATGAGACTTTCTAGGTTCAGTATAAGTTCAGTTGCCAGCATTTGTGGCATAATGTTAATTACTACAAAAATTAATTGACTTTCCTTTTCTTCAAAAAAGCTAAAAACCTGAGTTAATGAGGCACTTACAATGTAAGTGAATGGGGCAAATCTGTAGACATTAAAATACTTACCGTTTTAGCAGTATAGCAACAAGACATATTGGGCCTCATTTATAAAGTGTGCGTACATACATATTTGATCTTAGAGTGTGCGTACGCTTAAACCCACGCCAATGCTCATATATGTAAAAAAATGCCTTTGACGTGGAAAAGTGCTTAGCGTCACGTCAAGGTCTGAGCAGACATACGCACTTTTTCTTGTTCGAGTACTGCAGGTTTTTGGGAATAAAAGCTGTTCTTGTTGCTCGATGTTCTAAATGAAAGAATTTGGACGATGATTGGAGATCTTTTATAAGTTAATGACATTAATTAGGAGTCATTTACAAGGCAGAGAGCTGAAACCATTCAGTTGCGCGCAAGTTTAAGATCATTTGCGATTCATAGATTTCACATCTGAAAGGGAGGCGTACGTGCGTTTATAAATCACTATGAATCACATGTACGCATATTTGAGAGATGATCGTAAGATCAAATTTAGGATGGTTTCTGCGCGTCATTTTATAAATGAGGCCCAATATGTGTTGTTAAATATGATTTTATTGTGAAAAAAAAAACTTTAGGAATAGTTCAGCCAAAAAATACAATTAGCTGAAAATTCACTCAGCCTCAAGCCAGTCAAGATGTAGATGAGTTTGTTTCTTAATCATAAAAGATTTGTAGAAATGTAGCATTATATCACTTGCTCACCAATGGCTCCTCAGCTGTGAATGGGTGCCGTCAGAATGAGAGTCCAAACAGCTGATAAAAACATCACAATAATCCACACCACTCCAGTCCATCGGTTAACATCTTGTGAGTGAAAAGCTGCGTGCTAGTAAGAAACAAATCCATCGAGGCATTTTAATTTTAAACCTTGAACATATTTGTTTAGATCAAATTTTAGACTGTTATAAACATTGTGCATATTTCTTCTGATTCAGACGAGAGTTAAAAACATATTAATGATTGATTTGTTTCTTACAAGCACACAGCTTTTCACATCACCAGACGTTAACTGATGGACTGGAGGAGTGTGGATTGCTTGTGGATTATTGTGACTTGTACTGAACCTGGAATATTCCTTTAAAACATGGTTATGCTAATGCTGCATTCACGATTGCACACTCAGTACCAGAGTGCAGCTGTTATTGTGCTGTGTGAGGTTTTGCAATGTGTACAGTGCATTCTACAAGTCATGTGTGTAGTAGACACAGGGTCACCAATACCCAAACGTGTCCCTCCAGCCTCCTGAGTTTCTGACCTTCACAGAGGAACAGAGCGATACAGCCTTCACAACTACAAACAAACCGGAGACACTGTCATCATACCATTATGCATTACATTATTCTACTTTTTAAATGTCTTATCAATTCATCAATAAAAGCCATCTTCATCTAGTTTAGTGAGTAAAGGAGAGAGAGAGAGAGAAGAGAAAATTTCACAGATTCGCTGAGTGTGAGAGATGCTGCGGATGTTTAAAATGGGGTGCGAGTGAGAGGAACAAAAAGAGGTGTGTGTGTGTATTTCACAGGCAGCTGGATTGGTGGAGAAAGAGAGAAGCTATAATTGATGTCACACCAGGTGTGTGTAGGGAATGAGAGGAGAAGAAAAGCAAGGGAGGAGGGATCGTCAGGGTTACCTATCCATCCTCTCGCTCTCTCTTCCTCCAGTACACCTGCAACACATCTCGTCCCTCATGATTACGCCGTCCTTAGATAAAACCAGACCCTGGCAATCCCACAGAGAGCCATTACAAACACTCGCTGTAGTGGAATTTTACTTCCTGTCCTATTCAGAGCTATTGTACAATAGCTCTAGTACAGAACCCAGAGAGCTGCATGTCTAGTGTCTACAAAGGCTGCAGCTTTCTAAGGTGGCATTCTAAGCGGAATGTAATCTCATAGGCGACTGATTTGGAACACTGCATACTTGAGTTTCTTACTCATGATTCCAGTAGTCGGTGTCCACTGTTTCCCTTCATTTTTCTCCATAATAAATGGGGAAATCTCTTTTGTTTTGATAAACCATTAAAGTGATTATATATGCTTATGTAAAAGCCACAATCAAGTGTAATTCCTCTTCTTTTTTAAGTGTTTAAATGCTGAATTCAAGGTGAAGATCTACACTACCCATAATCCTTAAAGAAGAGGCACCAATTAAAATGGACACTATTAATGGAAATGAAAATTGCAGCAAAAGAGTTCAACAACAACGTCCAGTTCCATGAACTGAAATGAGCAGGCTAATTACATAATTAAATTATTCTCTCGACACTCAAACAACTCATACTTGTTTATATTGGAATAACAGTAAGATTTTTAAAAAGTTTAAAATGTTTTGAAAGATTCACCAGGACTGCATTTATTTAATACAGTAAAAACAGTAATACTGTAAAATATCATTACAGTTTGAAATAGCTGTTTTCTATGTGAATATTTCTTCAAATGTGATTTATTGCTGTGATCAAAGCTGAATTTTCAGCATCATTACTCCCAGTGTCACGTGATCCTTCAGAAATCATTCTAATCTGCTGATTTGCTGCTCAAGAAACATCTCCTACTATTATCAATATTGAAAGCAATGCAGCTTAATATTTTTATGGAAACCATGATTATTTAATGATTATTTGATTCAAATGAATTTGTCACTTTTGATCATTTTAATGCATCCTTGCTGAATAAAGTAATTTCTTTAAAAACAAATAAATACATAAAATAAAATAAATAGAAATCTTATTGAACCCAATCTTTTGAGCAATAGTGTATACAAACATTTTTGGATAAAAAAATTAATTATATATATATATATATCGTTATTCATAATTTTCATAATGATTTTGTGTCAAATTATTAACATCTAATCCTTACAAATATTGGGGGAAAAAACTGCACAAAAAAAAACAAGCCTGCAAAAAAAGGGTCAACGGTCACTGTTGTGCTTTATAGTTTCACGTTAATGTGTGTTAATCTAGCACAAACATTACACAGCACACACAAATATCGGGTTACATAACATACTTTCCAGTTTTTAAATGAAATATATTTATAATCTATATTTGTAATCATTTTGCTCTAGATTTGCCCTTTATCTTAACGTTTTCATGCAATGCTGTGCTTATAATTTGGTAAAAACAAGGCATCTTAGAATGCAGCATAATATTTTGAACTGCCTGTCAATAGCGTTTGCGTCTAAATGTCGCCTACTGTATGTTGCCTTAAAATCTTTATATGTTCATCTCGGTAGGTAGCTCACTAATATTGTGATTTACCTATTAGTTGTTCCAGTCATTCAATTCTTTTTTGCTGTATTTGAGTGTTTCTCGTTTTGTCTGCAGAAAAAGCAAAAGCAAACATGGCCAAGCCAACGGAGGGGCTCAGAAAAAGGAAACGGTGAGTGCAAAAAAAGCGCAGTATATATGAACACATACACACAGTGTAATTATGGACATGGATGTACATACTGTACATATACATGATAATGTTTTGTATTTCAGGCTGCTCTGCGCCAGTCCAAGCTGAACTCAATGAGTAAATCTGACACCCGCCTGCATGACATGCACAGGCTGCCCTGCAACGCCAATGGTGAGAGAGACCGTGATGTAACCGGTCTTTATGACATACGTACACAAGACTCATTTACCTCACATATGCACGGCGTGCAAAGGCTGACGTCTCCAGAGACTTGTCAGATGTTTACTAGATCATGTTCCCACTGCCACAGACGTGTGATCTGCGAGGCTGAGAATGACAGTTGTCAAGCTGACACGCAGAACACACACACATCCCAAAGCCTTATATACACTGGCTTCTAATCTTTTAAATCCAAACTAATAGAGACTCAGCTTTATTTAGTGTGTAAAACACAAAATACACAACAAGAAGGATAACAGTTCCCAATTCGTATCAACGTGAAATCAAGATTGACCCTATTTACTTTTGTAATACATGCTCCTGGTCGTAATATCCACAAATCATCAGTCTACACTACTAGAAAAAATTATTTCTTAAAATGAATTACAATTATTAATTTTTTCTGCTGATGTTACCAAGATCACTCGTTTCAACACGGGGAAGACATTGAGGTTATAAAGAATGTTGTGGTAACATTGTTTTGAAATGTTTCTAAAATGTCCATATGCCTAGTTTTTTTGTCATAATTATAACACTATTTAAAGGTTACAAAAACATTTCTTACAATGTTCTACTAACTTTATTTTCACTTGAAATGTTATTTGAATGTTTATTTTTAAATATTCTACAAATTTTAAAATGTCCAGTGTTCGTTTTGTGATTAGAATATTACTTAAAGTTTCCTAACATTTTTCTTACAATGTTCTACTAACTTTATTTCCCCCCAAAATATAATGTTATTTGCACATTAGTTTTTAATATTCTAAGAATGTTGTTGGCGCCGATGGCCTCGTTGGCAGCGCGCTGTTATTTAAAGATTACAAAAATGTTTCTTACAACGTTCTACTAATTTTGTTTCTACCCATAATGTAACGTTATTTGAATGTTTATTCTAAGAACATTTTCTCTCAAGATTGAGAACGAGTGCAAATAACATTATAAGAATGTTGTGAGAATGTTGATATCAGTATATTTTCTCTCATTGTTTTAAGAACATTCATCAAGTAAAAACATCATGAAGACATTCTAAGAATGTTTTCTCTCAGGGTTATCAGACCGTATATTAAATATTAACAAAGTGAGAAGAATGTTCCTAAACACTATTTTAGAATGTTTTGTCCTAAAAATTATATAACTTTTAAAAATGTTATCGAAAGTTGTGAGAAGGTTCCTTGTTATGCTAAGCTAGTCAGCTAAACGATTAGCTTGCTAAACAGGCTAGGCTAAACTGGAAAGGTAAATGCTTAATTTGACTATTTTTAGATTTGGTAGTATCATCTGATACAGTTTTGAAAACAAAATTCACATTTTTTTTGTAGCCAGTGTAGATTCATGTTGGCTTTAAACTCATTGTACTGTCTGTAAGCAGGTTTAAACATATGTAAGATTGTGAAAGTGTGGTTAAAAAAACCAGATAATCAAATAGTAATGGTCTGCCCTCTTGTGTTTGCCTGGAGTAATGTCAAATGTGTCATTTTTAATGATACTTTGGATTTTATTTACCCTTTGTATATGTATGCATTCAGTATTTTATCCAATATGACATCATTACTCCAAACTTTAATCTTAATCCTCTTTCCCATCTCTCTCATATTAGTCTGATTTCTGACAACAGACTTTGTTAGTTTATTAATTATATATAAACTTATCAAAAGCGCGTGAATGATAGCATGTTAGCAGATGATAGCTATTCACAGAACTGTGATCAAATTCTATTCAGCACCGCATAGAGATAAATAAACACGTCCAAACCTCGTCTGTGTCCCGCAGAGGGATTTCAATGGATCCCCGAGACATGGTTGCGACTCGAGCCAAAAACCCAATATCACAGTTTTTGGTTTGTACTTGTTCGTATCCAGCGGTGATGATCAGCAGCGGCAGCCCCACACACTCGCCCACTGAACCTGAACAACAAAATTCACCACACTTCCGGGTCAGCGGCCAAGCGCTTCACATTAAAAGTCCTCGAAAATGCATCCATTGTGGACTTTTTGTTTCAACCTTTCTGTCGCCACTAAATGATCATGAGACGCGACAAACGATTAAAAATACAAATATTCATAAAAGTGTATTTAGATATAGAGTGACAAATTAATAATAGTAACAACAAAAACAACAACACATATGTGATACGTATACGACAAAGTACATGTGCCTTTAAATTTATAATACAATATTATATTTTAATATGAATGAATTTATAATAATAATAATAATATCTATCTATCTATCTATCTATCTATCTATCTATCTATCTATCTATCTATCTATCTATCTTCATAGCAACACTCTAGCAACTATCCAAACCAACCCGAATACCCTAGCAACCGCATAGCAACACCCTAGCAACCACCCCGAGTGTCTTAGCAACCGCATAGCAACCCCCTAGCAACCACCCAGGGTACCCTAGCAACCACATATCAACACCTTAGCAACCGCCCCGGGTACCCTAGCAACTGCATAGCGACACCCTAGCAACCATCCAGAACACCCCAGCAACCCCATAATTTACTTAAACCACAGAACATAGTAACTGCATAGCAACACCCTAGCAACAATCCAGAACACCCCAGCAACCAATAATTTACTTAAACCACAGAACAACATAGTAACTGCATTGCAACCCTGTCACAACCAACCAGAAGACCCCAGCGACATCCATAACTCACTTAAACCTCAGAATAACTTAGTAACTGCATAGCAACACCCCAGCAACCCCATAATTTACTTAAACTACAGAACAACATAATAACTGCATAGCAACACCCAAGCAACCATCCAGAATACCCAGTAATTCACTAAACACTTAAAACAACCTAGTAATGGCATAGCAACTCCCTATCATCCACCCAGAAACATCCATAACTCACTTAAACCTCAGAACAACTTAGTTACTGCATAGCTACCACATAGAACACCCTAGCAACACATACACACAGTACTGCACCAAACACTCAGAACGTCTTAGCGTGGCATAGCAATGCCATGGCAATAACTCAGAACATTCTAGTATCATTATGGTATATTTTGCACCACTCTCATTTTCTTCAGAAAATGAATGCAAGAACTCGACATTGCTAAAGATGGGCCTATTAGATGAGGACCCATCTTTAGCAATGCAAAATTCTTGCATTTGATTTCCAGACAATTGAAAAAAATAAATAAATAAGTGAGAAAAAAAGATTAATAATTGTCTGCCATTTGCACTGATGTAAATAGCAAGCAATGCAGGGCCTGGTAGTGCAGTTATTCGTTTGGACCACTAGAGAGTGCTGTTTCCTATAAAAATATCCCCTAGATTCACCAACCTGAAGCATGATCTAAAATCTGCATGACTGATGACATTTAAATGTGTGTGGGTGTGTGTGTGTGTGTGTGTCTGTGTGTCTGTTTGCATTTCACCCATATTCCTGTCCGTCTGTCAGCTGATAACCGTTTATATTGTGTTCGGCTTTCAAGGACAGATAAGACTTGCAGAGAGCAGAACAGCCATGTATTTAGATATAGAGTGACAAATTAATAATAGTAACAACAAAAACAACAACACATATGTGATACGTATACGACAAAGTACATGTGCCTTTAAATTTATAATACAATATTATATTTTAATATGAATGAATTTATAATAATAATAATAATATCTATCTATCTATCTATCTATCTATCTATCTATCTATCTATCTATCTATCTATCTATCTTCATAGCAACACTCTAGCAACTATCCAAACCAACCCGAATACCCTAGCAACCGCATAGCAACACCCTAGCAACCACCCCGAGTGTCTTAGCAACCGCATAGCAACCCCCTAGCAACCACCCAGGGTACCCTAGCAACCACATATCAACACCTTAGCAACCGCCCCGGGTACCCTAGCAACTGCATAGCGACACCCTAGCAACCATCCAGAACACCCCAGCAACCCCATAATTTACTTAAACCACAGAACATAGTAACTGCATAGCAACACCCTAGCAACAATCCAGAACACCCCAGCAACCAATAATTTACTTAAACCACAGAACAACATAGTAACTGCATTGCAACCCTGTCACAACCAACCAGAAGACCCCAGCGACATCCATAACTCACTTAAACCTCAGAATAACTTAGTAACTGCATAGCAACACCCCAGCAACCCCATAATTTACTTAAACTACAGAACAACATAATAACTGCATAGCAACACCCAAGCAACCATCCAGAATACCCAGTAATTCACTAAACACTTAAAACAACCTAGTAATGGCATAGCAACTCCCTATCATCCACCCAGAAACATCCATAACTCACTTAAACCTCAGAACAACTTAGTTACTGCATAGCTACCACATAGAACACCCTAGCAACACATACACACAGTACTGCACCAAACACTCAGAACGTCTTAGCGTGGCATAGCAATGCCATGGCAATAACTCAGAACATTCTAGTATCATTATGGTATATTTTGCACCACTCTCATTTTCTTCAGAAAATGAATGCAAGAACTCGACATTGCTAAAGATGGGCCTATTAGATGAGGACCCATCTTTAGCAATGCAAAGTTCTTGCATTTGATTTCCAGGCAATTGAAAAAAATAAATAAATAAGTGAGAAAAAAAGATTAATAATTGTCTGCCATTTGCACTGATGTAAATAGCAAGCAATGCAGGGCCTGGTAGTGCAGTTATTCGTTTGGACCACTAGAGAGTGCTGTTTCCTATAAAAATATCCCCTAGATTCACCAACCTGAAGCATGATCTAAAATCTGCATGACTGATGACATTTAAATGTGTGTGGGTGTGTGTGTGTGTCTGTTTGCATTTCACCCATATTCCTGTCCGTCTGTCAGCTGATAACCGTTTATATTGTGTTCGGCTTTCAAGGACAGATAAGACTGGCAGAGAGCAGAACAGCCATGTGGAATGATGGTGCCTTTAAAATGGAAAACACACAGACAATG